TTCCAGTATGAATCCTTCTGATCACTACTTGTTGACTAGTTAGCAGACAAGTCAGCATCTTCCATGCAAATGTGCTGGAAACAAAAGTAGCCACAGGTAAGGTTTTTGATGCTGGACCATGAGTCTGCCAGCAACCACTTGGCAACCAGTTGTGGACTATACAGTTTTATTTAGCAACCAAGGGGTCACTGACCGGTCACTAGGTCTGTGTGAAAGGGAAATTTACAATTAATTTCACAATGATTGTTAGCAACTCCTAGCAACCACTCACAACCGGTCAGGGAATACACAGTTTTCCTTAATGAATGGATGCTTGCTAACTGGCCATGGCCACATGGGCAGGGAAGGATCGAGTCGCTGACAAATGTAGAAACATAAAGGAACAAACCATCAGGAGTTTGTTTTTACTCTTCCCAATAACTCAATGTAAACGATATTTAACCATATTTAATGTTTAATTTGACACAATTTTGAAGGATTTAGAATTTGGTGCTTTTATGGAGGAGAAGAAAAATGACAAAAATATCTTGTCTAGATGTGTACATGTTCTCAGCTGAAGGACTTTGCTCAGTTGTCAAGGAGAGTTAATACTTGTCATTTCATGCTCAGCTGAGCAACCTAGAGCTAAAAAGCTCCTGAAAAGAAAAACATTAAGTGGACCTTTTTTTTAGTCAGGGTTAATAATAGTAGAAATTGGCAGCATCACTTGCTTTCATCCTTACTAAATATCACAAGAACTGCACAAGGATAAATAATGAGCAAGAATTTGGGTCTATTGTGTTGAGAAGTGATAGGAAATTGCCCTTTCCCAGACTCTCAAAGCCAGTGGCCTGATGTTGCATGAACCTCATCCAAAATAGGGCAATGATTTCTTACCCTGCTCTTCGCCCCGTTGTTTGCTTGGATCTCCTCCTAAAAAAATATGTTTAGTTTCTTTTTTTTTTTTTTTTTGAGAAAACCACTTGGGAAAATATAATTTACTAAATATGATTTACTCTCACTGACAGTTTGCATTAAAAAAGGGATGCTATTTCAACACACATCGACTGACATTCATGAATACACATCATTCCAGAGACAAGCCAATGCCCGTGTTACTGCCTGCTTTTGTAAAATTAAACAGAATTGCAGTCTGATTGTTTCTTGAGAAAAATGCTTGCACATTTTGTTTTTTTTACTTGGTGCCCCACGGCTTAAAGATTACAAGGTTACACCAGAATAACTGTAGATAAGAATTAGCAAACTATATATGTACATTCCTGTGTCCCATTTTCTCTGCAGCAACCACCATCGTGGAAGCGGGCAAAGACAAGAAGAACCCCGATGACTTTGCCGAGGCACTGGATTCAGTTCTGGGGGATTTTGCATTCCCTGATGTTTTTTTGTTCGATGTATGGGGAGCTATTGGAGATGTCAAAAATGGCAGAATCTAGATGTTTGTTGTACACATATGAGAGAAGAAGAGCTCTGTTCTTTGGTATATCAAGCTGCAAAAAGGTAAAATGTAGAAGTGCATAAATATTGCCTTCCAGTCCCTATATTCATTTTGAATCACTTGCAATCATGGCCGCACTGTGATATTGTTTGAGAAATGAAATGTCGCTAATTTGTGCATAACAGATTCTTAATGTTCTACTAAACTGGACTGTCAAATCTTTACAAGAAATACAATGCACAGTAATCTGCAGAGTAGTTTTTAAAACATTTGGCTAAATGAATAATCAGAAATTACCAATTTATCATCATTAGAAAGCTGTGATTGAATGTTTAATTAAAAAGAGATGCATTTAATAGAGGTCTTGACGTCTGCCACCAGCGTGCAACGGTATGTTATGAAACTGCAAGAGTTGGAATCAGCTGAGGAATCCAGAAAAAGCAGTTAGCACCAGTAAGTCTGTTTCACTTTGAAAGGAATTGCCGGGAAAACAGGAAAGAAACATTTACAGGACATTCAATCTTATTCTTCATTCAATTCAATCAACTTATATAAGGTAAATAAAAATGTTACCTTTTTGTGTTTTGGATTTTACCAAGTGTTCCAGAAAAAGGCATTGCAGCTTTAAATATCCTCAGTCTTGCAGTAGGTGACTGACCTGACTTGAACTTACAAAAAAAAGTAAAATAAAATAAAAAATAATCAAAGCTGTCATCTAAAAACTGAATACCAGGGGAGCAATCTAAATGTTCCTGCTCTGCAATTCCTGTAGATTCCCACATGTGGAAACTGCTGTCAAACACCATATTCGAACCATAAGTTCCCACAGTCAAAAAGAAATCAAAAAAAATATTTTGGTGGATTCTTGTGCTTGTATGTAAACTCTTACTCTTAGTTTTCCTTAAAAAATGGAAATAATTTCTTGTGGTTGTTGAGAAAAGGAAAATGTTACATATTCACCTTAATATTGTACCATGTTTCACTGAGGGAGCCTTCAGTCTGTTTAAAAAAAGAGAGAGAATGCAAATATACTATAGCAGTTTGTTGCAGCATTTCATTATCACTGCTCTTAGTTTCAGTGTGTAGATCTCACTTTGTGTTTCTGCATTGGTTAGTATATCCAGTAAAAAAAAAGGAAGCATTAACTTAACACTGGAGTGGCATATTTTTTCTGCCTTACCATTTTGCATACATAAGTAAAAACCGAATGGCTAAATTTAAATGATTTGACCTAAGATGTGATTACACGGTTTGAGCAATATCAGTACTCTTCTTTGTGTTGCCACTTGACTGCATTTCTGTATGGGAAATAAAATGGTTAAATATTTAACAGCAACAAATATTTCTGTTTTATTGAGCCTTTATTTACGTGAACAATCAACATTTACTCCTCACTGTCATGGGAGAACTTTTATGGAGTAAAAAAAAAACTGTTGTGGAAGACTGGTTGAGTTGAGTGATATTACAGCGTGCATTACTTTATATCCATGATGAGTGTAAAAATTGCTCTCTTAACAAAACATATTCTCAGTGCACATCAACTTTAAATCTTAGCCTTGAGATCTCAAAGAGGCAGAAGATTTTATAACAATCAAAATAAAATACAATAACGTTCTCCAAATTTAAACTCTAGACAGTGTACTTGTTTAGGTTATCTAATTGTAGTTTATCTAGATGTTTAGGATGCACTGAACTTCCTCCAAGAACTGAGTCCTCCTTTTTAAAGGGTCAGTTCATTCAAATTATAAATCTTCACACATGCATTTTCACACTTAACCATACGTCGGCACAATACATCATTTTTAATTAACACCTTCCATTCAGTTGAGCAGCACTTGTGCATTTTAATGGATGGTATACCAAAAAAAAATTATATCTAAGTGACTACATACCAGTATTTGTTAGGGAGAATAAAGAGATGATTTCTGGAGATCATGAGAACGACATACCAGTTATCAGTAAAATATTAATTCGTTAAAGAAATACATACAATAACTTTGTCTACATGTGTTGTGTCATTGGTTGAGGCTGATCTGCATTAAATTGTCCTGTTCTGCAAGGGTCCACTTTGGAAGTAACTGAATTGAGACACAATAATCAATATGATTGTCATACAACACTGTAATAGGTGATAAACAATTTAAACCTTGTATGTAAAAAAACAGAATTTAGCTTTCTTCCTATGTCAGTTTGACCAAATACAAATCAAAGTAGTTGGGAATTTCAACTTATAATGAAGTTACCATCTTTTGATCCCTCATTTCTTCATATATTCCAATACTAACGTTCAAACACATTGGAATTGCTAACACACTGTTTTCACTGCACATATTCTAGATAAATATACAGGAATGAAAGGTGGGTCAAGACTACAAGATTACAATATTTTGTAATAATCCATCTTTTTTCCTCTTGTAAACATCCTTCAGCCCATATGTAACAGACAACCTTGAAACAGAATATCTCCCTCAGTAAAAAACAATGAAGTTAAATGCAAGAAACTGATCTTTTAGCATTTTTCAAGCTTTGATAGGTTTTCAGAGTTTGTGACATGTTCAGTCAGAGTAACTATTAACAAATGTATGTGAATATAGTATAATATAATATTTCTTGTTAACAATGGGAACTTCTACAATATTACAATTTCTATATTTCAGGTTCATGGGACTAGGCTGCCTGTGGGTTTCCTCCTAAAATGGTTAGCACAACATCAGGTCTAAGCATGCATCAAACAAAGAGAAAACACGATAATTTATCCTATTTAATGGTACATTAAATACGGTTAACTTAATGCAGCAGTATATCTAGTTAGCAGTGCATATAGTTAACTTCAGTGCGATGTATGGCGCTGAGAGTAGATGTCTGATCCCTGCGATCACTCATTTCTGATCAGAGAAACAAACACACACTGTACCATGACCCTCAGTCAGGTGACTTTAAGGTAGATGGAGGAGTGACATTTGACTTTGTTGTTTCTCCTGTTTCATCTGAGCCCGGGTTGTTTCCTAATGAAGATCGTGTCAATCTGCGTGCAGTCTCTTGAAAATATGGGTACAAAGTCATGATTGAGCTCCGGGACCAGTCAAAGCGGGGGTAGACTCTCTTAAAGACTGCCCTCCGGAACAGGATGTAAACCCATGGGTCGAGGATCTGGTTGCAGGTGGCAAAGCGGAGGTACAGCAGCAGTTTCCTGACCCCGAGAGGATCGCTGGAGAACACAGTTTGAGCAATAAAGACCTGGATGTGGAGGAATAATGTAGGGACAGACAGAGAAAAGCAGAAGTAAAGAGAAGCATGAAGGAGGAAGCAGTTGACGGAGGAGAAGATGGTAAAGAAAGAAAATAAGAAATAGCAAAAGGAAGAGATTGGAAGAAGTGAATAAGAGAAGCGAGATCAAATAGGTTAATATTGCAGATCCACACAAGCATTCACTATAAGTTATGTCTAGTTTAAAAAGAAAGGCTAGGCTAATTTTGTCATGGTGTCCCTGAGGCAGTGGCTGCTGTAACATAGCCTAATTACCCATTACCCAATTATCCACATTTCATGTGAGGCACAGCATTATTAGCATTACCCCAACTGTCTCCAGAAGGGGGAAAACATGCTAACAAGCTCCTGCAGGAATTAAAAACCGGCCTAGTGTTGCTTATAGTTTCTTTTCAAAATTTAGCTTGTGTCACAGTTCTGTTCTCCTGAGTTTCTGCATCCAAGCAATGCAAGAGACCATGCAAGATGAAGCGTTTTTGTGAGGCAAATGCCTCTCAGTGGTATTGGTACTCCATGGGCTCATGTTTTGCAGAGTGCCAGTTAACATTGGCTTATTTTCATTTTCAAAAACAAAGAAGAAAACTGACATTAAGAATAAGGCTGTTTCATATAGGCTCAACTGCAGATAACTGTTGCTTGATTGCATTTGTCCAGCAGTACTTCCAGGATTTCTGCAGCTCTACTCCAAAGGAAAAAAATATTAGAAACTAAATGAAACGAAAATCTGCAAAACGAAAAGCTACCATGTTTCTGATGACAGAACATACGTGTGTTAATTTTTCCAAATTAAAGAACGTGCAAGGCCAAAAAACAAGCATGATGAGAAGTTTAATGGCTATTAACTGGAGAAAGAATGGAACGAAACTTTGAGCATATAAGTATTGGTTTGGAAGCGGCAGTGCGTGAAGTGGACTGATGTGTACAAATCTGTCATTTGGAGATGTTTAGGGCACGTGACCAACTAATTGGCAAAAATACGGTGCCATGGGGGTGAGCGGTGATGGCGGATGAGCAGCGTTAGATTTTCGTTTCACGTTTTACTCGCCTTAGTGGGGACACATGAAATATGATGTAAATCCATGGGTCTAAAATCTGATTGCAGGTGGCCATTCGTATGCCGAACAAAACCACATTAGCATCAGGAACTTCAGAAGTCTTCATGTGCACCAAAATGTATATCTGTACAAGGTATCACACAACTAATGTTAGACCAGACTGCAGAAAAATGTGTGCTCCACTCAGGGACTTTAGTCCTTATTATTTTGTTCTCTGGCAAACTCAGTTAAAAAATGAAGTAGTTGATTTTTTTTTGTTTTTTAAATTATACATAGGAAAGCAAAAGTGTAAAGAACTGAATTATGCAATAAGTGATTCCTATTAGAAGTATAAAAATGATAGGTAGATAATGCAAGATAGGCTGAACGTAACTGAAATTGTCTAATTTTTATACAAATTAAAAATGCATCAGTATCTCATCAGTATCTATAACTAACGCCTCCCATCGAAGGTCTGGGTTTTATTTTGAGTCTTGGTTGCCACACTGGACCTTTCTGGACTTTTTCAGCGCTGTTTGACATTGTACTAGATGTTTTCCTTTAAAGGCTCTGCTTCACTCTTGAGTTGAAATATGTCATCTCAAGTGGGGCATTAAGGGGCTCTTTGATCCAGGGTAAGTACAGACGGTTTTCAGATCAGCTAGTAAATAGGCTGCATCACTAAGAAGAATTGAAGCATACACAGAGGAGCAGAGAAAAGGAGCTTAAGACCTTGTGGTGCCTCATTAAAGTTCAAACATTTTAAAAGAAGCGCTGGTAACAAAAAACTAGATAGTTAAGGTCATGGCGCGGTGCTTTCAAACACATGAAAACCATTTTCCACACAACAGCAGGTGGACACAATAAAAGTAAGTGTGTCACCTTGCAGTATCTTGAAGATATTAATTTCCTATCACAACCTCATGATTAATGTTTAGTGAACAGTCTTTATAAATATTTAGCCCATCAGGCTACCTTTGTTTTTTATATATATATTCTGAGTATTTCTTCGATCATGAAAAAATAGAAAATTCATTGTCAAGAAACACAAACCTAGCCTAAAAGAAGGTAAAAACAAGAGAAATCTTCTCCTTCTGTCTACAACAGAAGGCAGTGAATTCTTCCATTGGTCTTATGATCACACAACACACACTGTCATAGACCAGACTGCAATTATGGAGTCCAACACACTGTTACACTGGTTGAAAAAGAACCAGATGTTTCTGTGGAGGGTAGTGACTGTTGCACAAGACCAGAGTGCTCCATTTATCCTGCAACATCACATCAGTTCACTCTCTGGGTCATCAGATAAATTGTTTCTTTCATATGAGGATTAGATTTGAAAAAGCTGCTACAAATAAAACATTTCTTGACCAAAGACTGGTCGCTACTTCATAGAAAGTTAATATGAAGAGACAGGGGTGTACTAGTATTTGTTCAAGCACTTAATGTACACACAGTGTTATGTAACAACTCTTCCTATAACAGAACGCTTACATAAATTAGTCAAACAATCAGATGTTAGACTCATAAATAATTTGTCTGGCCCTTCAGTCTCATCTCCATTTCTGCTTGTCTGGAAATCTCCTTGGCTACATGTGTTTGACACTGAATTGCTCTACCTGAAAGTGTTATCTCTTTCTTTTCGGCTCTCTCTCTGACTCACCTCTTCTCTGGTGTTGTAGAATATCACAGGAACTAGCCGACTGACTAGTCATTTCCAGTGTCATTTCCAAGGATAGAAATGACATTGCTCATTAATTATTATTTGTAGACTAATGGAAACTGGGCATTTTATTGTCCAGTAAAATGCCAGAGTGCTATATAATTGAAAAAGATACAATTTTTTTTTTTATTAACAGAACAATATAGTACCTTAAATAAACATAGAAAATTATACCCCATTATATGAGGAATTACAGTGTACATTGTGAACAAGAAAACAGCAGCATTAATGTGACTTTAATTATCATCAGTTATATTTTTACATAGTTTGCTGTTCCAGAACATGAGGTTTGCTAACT